AAATGGTGGTTTTCCTTTTTGCCCCCCTTACCCTTTCCCTGGCCCAAAAATTTCCCAAAGGCCCTGGGGGGGGGGGGGGGGCAGGTGTGTATGTCAACTTGTGTACGGCATGCGGCATCGTGTATGGTACGTGCTCATTTGTTTTTCCTTGGTGTGTGCCGGAGTATTACAGTACTGCTGATCGGGCCACCCCCCCCCCCTCGACATTTTTGATTGGGTGGGTTGGGTGCGGGGAAAGGTACAAGAGGACCAAGTAACCTTACATGTAGCGAAATCTTTCTCTGCAAGGAGAAACGCCGACTCTGGTGGCCGCCGTATTCTTTCGTACTATTAACAAGAAAAAACTGACATCACGGCGAATATCTCTCTCTGGTTATATGCCCGAGACGACACAGGACCGAATCGCCCCGTCCTAAAAAAAAAAGAAAAAAAACGCCCTCAAAACCTGTTCGAAGTTCTCCGGCCGCGCCATACCCCCCCCACCGAAGACAGAACGGCCACGCACATCGCGTACACACCGACAGACAACTGCCAAACACCCACCTCAGGCTTCTCCGAGACCTCGAGCTCAAGCGCGGCGCGGGCATGCCCGCCGAAACCACCGACGCAGAAACATCTCCCTCGGGGCCAGACCCTTCTCCCCCGCCCCCGCCCCCGCCGCCCCCGCCCCCCGCTTTCAACCGAGTTCCTGCTGCCTTCCCCGTCCTGGGACCCCCCCCCGGGCCCCTTCAAAGGTGTCCATCCCCGGGGGCCCCTGGGAGTTCCCGGACGGCACCTTGGCGGGGGTGCCCCCCCGGGGGGGAAAGGAGTACCTTGGGGGAACCCCCCTTCCGTTATTTTGGAGTTCTTTTTCCTTGTTGGGGATGGATTCCGGAATGTGGGTTTTGGGTTGCCGGACCCTTCCCCCCCCAAGCTTGGGCTGGTGTTTGGGGGCCAAGACTCCCCCCGGGTGGTGGTGGTGGTGGTGGGAGTCCCGGGGGGGGTGGGAGCTGTGGTGGTGGGATTGGGAGCCTGGGCTCACGTGGTGCAGGAGCCCCGGGAGGGACTGCTTGCGCTGTTGTGGGAGCTGGCCCACGCGCGCGGCGTGGCTGCGCGGGGGGGGGGGGGGAGCACACATATTGACACACACGCGTGCAGCGGGAACGCCATCAAAATAAATCAAGACCAGGGGGAGATGGAAGAGCCAAGGGAAGGAAGCGGTGACCAACAGACGAGGTTTTCGGTTATCAGATATTTACTATGGCAATGAGAAGCAGAGTACAACCAGGAGATAACGACAGCGAGATCTCCTATACTTTACAAAAAAGCCAACGCGAGAGAAAACGGACGAGAATCCTCAAAGCAGGCGAGGCAGATGTTCCAGGGACAAGAGGGAAAAAAAAAATAGCCACAAAAGACTTCGACGGTTACATCCAAATGCATCAACAGAGACCATCTGTCACCAAGCACTAGACGCCAAAAACACACCAAGACCCGCCACTGAAACACAACGAAAGCCATCCCACTTGCCACAATAGAAAACCACGCACAACCCAAACGGCTCAAAAATCAACACAAACCTGCTGATGCTCATGCGTTGATTGGCGAGAGTCTTGAGCTTGTCCACTCCCCCTACCGCGCTGGCTCTATCCGACGTGGGCTTGTTCATGAACAGCCTCACGCCCAGCAGCAACCGCCCGACTGCACGCTTTGTTCGTCCCGCGGATTCGAGGTCGTACCACTTCAGCTCTTTTTTTTTTTTTCGGCAGAGAATAACATGAAGGCAGGCAGCACCAACACCAAGGGGAGTAAAGAAGATAAAATACTTAAAGACGGCAGGTCCGGGTGGAGGAAACGAGATGCAAGCGTGGACGCCGAGGCCACGGGTTAGCTGGCAAGCGAATGCAGGGCAGCAGACAGGAACGTTACGACGACAGACAGCTGCGACAACGACGGCGACGAAAAAAAAGCCACCACCACCACCACCACCACCACCAACATGGACGACGACGCAACGACGACGACAACCACCACCCCACACCACCCATAGCGCGTCGAAAAAAACACGACCCACACCGCCACCAAACGACAACAGCAACAGCAGTACCCACCAGGGGGCGCAGCATCCCCGTCATCATCCCACTTCTGCACGGCGACGTCCGTGAGCGGTATCGTCACGTGGCCGAGGAAGTCGTCCGTCAGGAACAGGTCTTTGTGCCACACCTAGCGGGGGGGGGGGAGTGAAAAACAAAGGAAGGCAACAGCAGAGGATACACACCCGTAAACATTCCCAACACACGACACCGTCCAAGGGAGGAAGGCACCAGAAATTCGTTGTAAGAAACGCGGACGAAATATAAAAAAAGAACTATGAATGTATTTACTCGAAAGGAGCCAAGGCACGGGAAGGAACGGTGGAGTAGAGGACAAGACACGAGGCATTATTTGTAAGAAAACGCAAAAAAAAAATACAAAGGAGTGCTCCCAACACCATGCACAAGGGGGGAGGGGGGGGGGGGGGCAACAACAAATTGCTCGGGGGGGTCCAGGGTTACTGGGAAAGTCCCCCCTGTCCCCCAAGGTTGGAAA